CTGGGGTTGTTTAGCCTGGAGAAAAGGAGGCTGAGGGGAGACCTCATCGCTCTCTACAACTACCTGAAAGGAGGTTGTAGCGAGGTGGGTGTTGGTCTTTTCTCCGAAGTAACAAGTGATAGGACGAGAGGAAATGGCCTCAAGTTGCGCCAGGGGAGGTTTAGATTGGATGTAAGGAAAAATTTCTTTACTGAAAGAGTGGTGAAACATTGGAACAGGCTGCCCAGGGAAGTGGTGGAGTCCCCATCCCTGGAAGTATTTAAAAGACGAGTAGATGAGGCACTTAGGGACATGGTTTAGTGGGCATGGTGGTGTTGGGTTGACGGTTGGACTCGATGATCTTAGAGGTCTTTTCCAACCTCAATGATTCTATGATTCTATGATTCTAAGGGGTGAGAGCCCTTGGGGTGCCCTTTTCATGGCCCCCATGGGGCTGGGGAACTGCAAACCCTTGGGCTCACGCACCCTCTCACTTGACTTTCCAAACGAAGGAGGATTTCCCACAGGTGGAGGAGAGCTGGGTCCTGCTGAGGAAGGAGAGGCTGATGAGTTGCAGCCCACCACCACCCTGGTGGGACAGGGTGTGCGAGCTGCAAAGCTGGCGAGATGGCTCCGGCAGCAATGCCGAGATGCAGCTGCTGTTGCCTCCACACCAACAGCTAGGTCAGATTCCCTCCCGGAGCTGCTTCTGGTGTACAGTTACCACCCTGGGCTGTGGAAAGGTGGCTGGGGAGGGCTTGCTTTGGGAAGCAGCTGCCAGAAAGACATCCTCGCTCAGGGTGCCAGCGGCAGAAGGGAGCAGAGGGTGAGGGTGCTGGGTCAGTAGCAAAGCATCATGGTGCCTCAGTAGGTTGCCACCTTGATGTCTGCAAGCCAGTTAACTTTGGTACGTCTCGGACTTATTTTGGTACCAGTTGTTGCAGGGGAGACAGGCCCCCCACCAAATGACTTCTCATGAACATGGGACCACCAGCAGGTCAGCTGCTCTGTAACCAGCCAGGACACACGGGTCAGCTCTTCAGCTAAACGTCGCAGGGAGGGACCAGGCTTTGAGACCCTTGGGAGAGACAAAATGAGCTGCCTGGGCGGGAATGCGGGAACACCCTGATGGGTATTTTCCTGCTGCCTTTTCATCCTGCAGGAAGGCTGACCTGCACCAGCTGGGTGAGCAGGTTGGTGTCCCCAGGGGTCTGAGCACACGGCTGGGTCCCTGCTCCCCAGGGGGGCAGGGGGGAGAAGAAGGGTTGGGGGCCCAGGGGGTTTACAGGTCCCAGTTCACAGTGGTGATGGCTGGAGAGATGCCGAAGAGGGGCAGGCACATGGTGGGGTCCAGTTTGGGGAAGGTGAGTGAGGAGGGGGCACTGGGTACAAGGGGCAGCTGCCTGTGCCTAGGACGTGCCCGTGAGGAGTGGAGGTGACCGTACCTTTTCCAGGGGTGCTGGGTACTGCAGAAATAAGCCTAGCAAAGCACTGTGGGCCTCAGAGCAGCCCTGAGCACTTTATTTTCACAGCGCTCAGCCCACCCACACACATCCACAACCAGGCTTGGGGCAGGGCTGGGGCTCTGCACAGACACCAGTGACCAGGGATGCTGGAGATGCGGGGAGAGACAGCATCGGAGGGAAGGAGCCGTGCTGGAGGGGAAGGGGATGGTCGGAAGGACATTTTTCCCGCAACGGGAAAGCAAGGGGGACCGACCCAAACCCACAGTCCTGCCAGTCCCACAGCACCTTCCTCCCCTCACCACCGCAACGCTGCCCCTCGGGCTGCACAGCCCTCCATGGTCCTGGACCCCTTCCCAGGGAGCCACATTGCAGGGAGTGCCTCCCCGTGCCAGTCCCATCCTTCAGGCAGACCCAGGCCAGAACCGGCCCCCCAGGGGCAGCAGTCCCAGCCATGGGCACCCCTCCACTGCGGGGCCACAGCATCCACGCGAGGACCTCCCTCGTTCAAGTGGCATCGGAGCCCCTCTCAGAGGATCTTGACAGCCTGCAGCATGTCTGCCAGCACGTACGAGCTGTCCCAGGGGCGCCCAGGCTGCCGCAGGGCCCCCTCCAGTGCCTGGGCACGTGCCCCCAGCTCTGTGGGGTCCTGACGGCCCTCGGGGCTGGGCTGGCAGAACAGGATCTCGTTGACCTCCCCTTCAATGCAGCGTGCATAGAGCAGCGGGAAGACCTCCCTGAGGGTCGCCAGGACAGACTCTTTCAGCTGGGTGTCGCGGCACACCAAGTTGAGCACGAAGACTCCTGCAGCAGGGTGAGAGGGATGGGACTTCAGACCAGCCCACGTACACTGCCCTGCTCCCCGCCTCCCTCTTGGAATGCAGCTGAATCGGTGCCACCCTGGTGCAAACGTCTTCCCCGCGGAAGCACAAGGAGTACCGGCATCCCCCCTGGTGCCCTTGGCCCAGCTCCACGTCCCTGCCACCACGCAGGTCGTGGGTGGCCACACAATCTGTTCCCAGGTACCACCTACACCCTCTGCCTTCCTGCAACCTTTCTTGGCCCCCCAGGATGACTCAGCCTGCCTGACCCAGCAGCACTGCAGGCCACCCGCTCCACCCTGCTCCCTGCCGTCACAACGCCCACTGAAACACCCGGATCCAGGACCTGCCAGGAGCGGCGGATGCCACACCTTCCTGCAACCTTTCTTGGCCCCCCAGGATGACTCAGCCTGCCTGACCCAGCAAGGCCACAGGCCACCCGCTCCACCCTGCTCCCTGCCGTCACAACGCCACACCCGGATCCAGGACCTGCCAGGAGCGGCAGATGCCACACAGCAATCCTGGCTGAAACACCCGGATCCAGGACCTGCCAGGAGCGGCAGATGCCACACAGCAATCCCCCCCCCAGCCGCTATTCTCCAGGATGAGAAACAGTGGCAGAGCCCCATTACTCAAACCCCGCACAGGACCGGCCAACCTGGCCACAGGGACACAGCCGGATCTCCCCTCCTACCTTCTGGCTTGAGGATGGTTTTAACTTTCTGCAGAAAGGGCTTTTCCACGAAGGCTGGGGGCGGGCAGCTCATCCCCACCGTGAGGTCTTTGCTGTCCACATCAAACATGATGGCGTCGTACTGGGCTGGGGCTGCAGGAGGGAGCGCAGAGACTTGTTATGCCATGGGACAGAGATGAGCCATGCACGGTGGGGAGGCAACGAATGGGGTGGTCAAGACATCCCCTCTGCCATGTTATGGCTGCTTCTCTCTCCTGGGGTTTCTCTTTCCAAAGGAAACCCATGGCAGCAGCCCTCGGTGCTGGGGGAGGCAGCAAATCTAAGGTCCCCTGCACACGTTGGTAAGGACAGGCCTGTGAACTGCAGAGACTTGGCAAGGCTGGAGCTCATGACACGTGGCAGGAGATGGGCAGGATGGGAAGCAGAGGGTGAAAGCAGCCCAGGACTCTCGTCCCCAGCATGTCACCCGCTGGGCTCGATGGGGCACCTGGGATGCTCTGCAAGATGGTACCTTCAGCTGCCAGCTTGGCCACGTAGTCCAGGCCATCAGAGATGTGCACCCGCATCCGGTCGCCCTGGGAGAAGCCGAACCAGCGCGTGGCCACCTCCAGCATGGAGGGGTCAATCTCCACCACGGCCACGTGGGCCTGCGAGAAGTAGTCGTGGACAAAGAGGGGCAGGCTGCCCCCACCGAGTCCCACCACCAGCACCGCCAGCAGGGCTCCTGCCAATGGAGAGCACCCAATGAGCCACCAGGATGGCCACACTCCCACTGCTCGTCCCACCCGCCAGCCCCAAACCGCTTCGGGAAGGGTGCATGAGGCACCTTGGCCAGGAAAGCCCTTCCCCAAGGAGCTGCGGCATGCAGACACATGCACAGCTGCCCCTGGCACAGCCTCCCACTGCCGGCCTCGCTACCTGGGACGGGGTCGGGGCCCCCCAGCAGGCAGAGCCCCGCGACCATGGCCTTGTGGTGCTCGCAACACAGGTAGCTCTTGTCAATGGCTGCAGGTGGCTCAGCGGGGCCAGGTTTCTTCTTGTCCTTCCTCCGTTTCTTCTGGCCTGAACATCAGGAGGCATCGGCTGGTAAGGCATGGTGGGAGACAGGGGTGCTTTCTGGGGACCCCCAAGAGCCTGTCCCACCCACAAGGCAAGCAGCGGAGTATAAAAACACTCCCATAGCTGCCCTGGGACAAGGCAGGCAGGTCCCAGCAGAACTTTTATCTTCCTCCTGTATCGATCTCACTCTCTGCCACACCAAAAAGTCACCCTTGGCCCCTGCCCCTTCCTGGCTGCCTCACCTGCCCCACATACCTGCGAGAGGCGTGCGGGCCAGGAGCCGAGCCTCCGACTGCACCACGTTCCTGTTACAGAGGAAGACGAGGCGGCGGAAGTAGCAGGTGCCATCCCCCTTCACGTCCTCCACGACGTACTCCCCACTCAGGGGGCTGGTGTCACGGTGCCGCACTGTCCGCACCCCGATGTCCCCTCCCACGGACAGGAAGGGCACCTGCAGGGAGGACAGGGACTGGTGTGAGGAAGAAAAGGCCACAGGAACAGACCTCAGCATTCCCGCTATCCTGACCACGGCTAAACAGCCAGGACAAAGCGGACACAGTGCAGGAGCAGCAGGATACGCTGTAGGCAGCCACAGGGGAGCTGGGGACCAGCGCATGGGAGACCAGCTTCCCTCCCATACACGTGTTGGGGTACAGGGAGCAAACACCCCATGACTTCTTGCAAGAGCTCAGATTTGGGAAGTTGGGGCAGGAAGAACGAAACAGAAGGGACAGGAGAAGTTAAAGCCAGGATTAAGAAGGGGCTGGATGCTCTCAGGGTTTCGGGATGCCTGATTTTCTTGGAATGCTGGGTTTTGGAGGGCAAGGAGTTCACACTGAATCCTGCCACACATGCACCTCAAATCCTGCCTCCAAGCAAAGGCAGCCAGCTGGAGGGAAAACCAAGAGAAGCTACACCTGAGGCCAGTCTCCTCCCCACCAAGGCAGCCAGCTCACACATTGCAGCTTTGTCTCCCTTGGAGAAGAGGGAACTTGCTGCTGGCGGAGAGCCAGCCTGGCCCCAGTTTTGGGGAAGCCAAGTGAGGGGGCCGGGCAGTGGGGCTCACCTGCTGCCGGGCAGGGAGGCCCGGCGGGGCCAGCTCCATCACCTTCCCTGACAGCTCCGCCTGGATGCCAGCCATGCCCTCGTAGTGCTGCTCTCTGTGCAGGGCCACAGTGACCAGGCGCCCGAAGCCCGCGCTGGTGGCCAGCTGCCTCCGCCCTTCCTCCATCCCAAAGAGCCACTCGGTTTCTCTGCCCTGCGGGACTGCAGAAGGGGCTGCCATCAGCCTAGGACAGTCTTGGTCCCCGAGTGACCACCCCGGCCTCCAAGAGAGGAGCCGCAGGAAATGGCAAGACATCATGAGGAGGTACCACTGCATGCCTAGACCCATGCTCTGCAACCATCAAGAGAGCCAGGACCTTCCCCATTTTGGGCAGGCTCATGCAGGAGGCTGGAAAAGCCACGCCTCATAAGAAGGGGGTGTCCAACAGCCTCACAACCCGTCTCCAGGCTGTGCTAAGCCCCAGCTTTGCAGGCGCGCAGGGAGGGAACAGTGCTGCTGCCAGAGCCTGACATGTGTCCTCAAGGTGCAAGCGCAAAAGCGAAGCGCAGCCCCGAGCCACCTGGCCCTGGCAAGTCAGGACGCCCACGCAGACCAGACGCCTTTCCAGTTGCGTCCGCTGCACTCTGGCTTTACGCAGCGACATGCTATGGTGGCTGTCACCAGCACCAAGGCAGGAATCACCACCTTGGAGGCAGAGCAGGCAGTGTCCCTCTGCTGCCAGATGGGCATCCGCTCAGCCAGCAAGCTCTGTGCCAGATCGCTGCTTGCACCATCAGGCAAACACATGTCCCACCGCAAAGCTAGGACTAAAACATCAACCAAACCCCGCACAGGTGGGTTACTTCCCTCTCCAGCCCTGATTTCAGCAGGGCCAGGACTGCTGGCCATTTTGCAGCTCCTGGCCAGAGCACCGTCTCATTGCAGGCAGGAGAGGCGGTACTCACTGATGAAGATGGCAAAGTGATTGTCCCGGGAAGGTTTTACCGAGGGGCTGTCAACCACATGCAGCGTGTAGCGAGGCCTCCCGCTCTCTTTGTCACACAGATCCAGGGAAACCTGCTCCCCGCAGGGGGTTTTGCTCAGCTGGCTGCAGAGCAGGGCGTAATGCTGCCTGTCCTTCACTGCCGCCACCAGCCGCTCCACGCTCTCCACCCGCATCGGCTTGTCCTGCTCCTCGGGGCAGATCTCCAAGATCTGCGGTGCTGAGCCAGGGATCTTCCTGAACTTTGTCATGACGTAGACGAAGACTGGTAGGACAAACTGCTGCTTGTCCCCGCTGCCAGCCACCTGATGGACACGCACAACCCAGCCTTCCTGGGAGAAGTATTTCACCGCTTTCTTCAGGACATGGGTTTGAGCCAAGGAGACGCAGAAGTAGCGCCCTCCTACCTGCAGGACCCGGCTGATCTCGGCAAACATCTTGTCCACCTTGGCTAGAGTGGCCTCCTCTTCGTCCGTGAGGACGGCATCCAGCGTGCCTTTGTCCAGGACCACCTGGAAGTGGGCGTCAGGGAAGTCCATCTGAAGCACGTCCATCAGCAGGTAGCTCATCTTCGGCCGCTTGCTCCCGCTCCGCTCTTGCATCTGACGGATCACTGCGTCGCTGATGTCAATGTTCACGATGTCCTCGCACATCCCCACATCGTACATCTGCTCGCTCAGCTCCGAGTTCCCGCAGCCCACCACCAGAACCTGGGGAGCGGTACAAGAGCAGCATGATGGCGAGAACGCCCTGGAAACGTGCCCCAAAGCATTTTACGAGCAAATATCAGCCACAGCCGCGAGCCTTCTGTGAAAACCACACCCGCAGCACCTGCAAACCCACTCTCCGGGGCCCTAAGATAAGTATAGAAAAGTCACATGGGCACAGAAGCGATGCATCTGTTGCATCTCTTTCGGGGATGATGTGGATGTTTTAACCCCCGGAGCTCCCCGTCCCAGGGTAACTCGTGGGTCTCTCCTGTTCTCTTGCTACGGCGCACCGGGGGCTTCGCATCGTCTGCGTCAGCGCAGAACGGCGG